TCGTCATGCTGCCCCAATACACATCCCATTGAGTTTTCTAAAACAGTCAGATACATGATCAACGGTCTTCCCTCGACTGGTGGTATCAACATAGGAGGCTCTTGTAAATACTCCTTGACTTTGTCAAAAGCAACTTGGCATTCATCATTCCATTTGACTACCTGATCTTTCTTCAATAGTTTGAAGATTGGCTCACAGGTAGCTGTTAGGTGAGAAATGAATCTGGCAATATAGTTCAGGCGTTCCAAGAATCCTCTGACTTCCTTCTCAGTACGAGGAGCAGGCATTTCTTGTATTGCTTTAACTTTGGCAGGATCGACCTCGATACCTTTGTTACTGACGATAAAACCTAAGATTTTACCGGACCGTACTCCAAATGTTCACTTGTTTGGATTCAACCTCAGCTTATACTTCTTCAGTCTCTCAAATAACTTTTGCAAGTGATCGAGGTGCTCTTCTTTAATTTGTGATCGGGCTATCATATCGTCTACGTAGACCTCTATTTCATGGTGTATCATATCATAAAACAAAGCTACCATGGCGTGCTGATAGGTGGCCCCAGCATTCTTCAGTCCGAATGGCATCACTTTGTAGCAGAATGTCCCCCACTGTGTGACAAATGTAGTTTTCTCCGTGTCCTCAGGTGCCATTCTGATTTGATTGTAACCTGAGAATCCGTCCATGAAGGAAAACACCTTGTGCTGGGCTGTATTGTCAACCAATATATCTATGTGGGGAAGTGGAAAATCATCTTTAGGGCTAGCCCTACTCAAATCTCTATAGTCCATGCACATTCGTACTTTGCCGTCCTTTTTAGGCACGAGAACAATGTTGGCAACCCATTGGGGATAGGAAGTGACAGCCAAGAATCCAGCATTGAATTGTTTCATGACCTCCGCTTTGATCTTCTCAGACATATCAGGTCTCATGCAGTAGACTTTTTGTTTCACTGGTGGATAGTCTTCTCTTATTGGCAGACGATGTACCACGATGTCTGTATCGAGTCCCGGCATGTCTTCATATGACCAGGCGAAGATCTCAACATAATCCTGCAACAGCTGAATCATACGTTCCTTGACACTCGGCTCTAGATTGGCACCTACCTTGATTTCTTTTCTATCCTCCTCGGTACCCAGATTGATTATATCCACCGGTTCCTCATGAGGCTGAATAGCTCTTTCCTCTTGCTGTAGTAGTCTGGCCAGATCCCCTGGTATTTCACAATCTTCCTTACCTTCGTCTTCGGCTTGGTAGATTATATCCTTAGAGTCATGAAAGGTCATAGCAGTATCATTACCCATGGGATCCAGAGTGGACGGGTACCTGCATTTGTGAGTGTGGGTGTGTGTAAGGGTATATCCATCTTTTAAAAGGAAAATAAATATAAAAGAAGAACAATGAGCATACAATTTTGTATGTAAAACGTTCGTGATTCATTGAATGTCATATGAAGATGAAATGACAACCCTTAAAAATGGACCATTGTGCCTCGGGCAAGACACAAGGTTTAAAATGTGCGAATTGTTTGTGAATATTACAAATTCAACAGAAATGTAGAAGATAAATTACTGAGGGACGAAAGTTATCGGAACAAAGTCTCTGGCTTCCCAATTGCGAAGTCCTCCATTAATAGTAGGAAAGATCCAATCCTACAAGCTGTAATCCTCTTCACCATCTTCCACCATATTGACCTCTCGGTTACTAATCTTTAAAGGTGGCCCTCCCGTATGGGCACGGTGCAAAGTCTTCTGAGCACTTGAAGTGAACCCTAAACCAAACTTGTCAGATTTATACAGGATGTCTGGAAGTTATCCCCATATGGTGCATCCTCCTTGCTCAACTACAGCTTTGGCGTCCTTCAGAGATGACATCCGGAGTGGAGGTCTTGTAATCTTGGGAATATGGGACACAGTCTTGGTCACTGCTACCTCTTGAGAGACTTCTTCAAAATGTTGAAAAGGAGTTTCAATGAACTCGCCATCCAATTCCACATACCTGAAGGAATTGAGGTGGCTAATCATATATTCTTCCTCTCTGTGGACAGTGATAATCTTTCCATGGACCGAATATTTTAGCATCTGGTGCAATGTAGAGGTGACAGCACCGGCATTATGGATCCATGGTCGTCCTAGCAGATAGGAATAAGAGGGGCGGATGTCCATTACATAGAAGGTTGAGTTGAAAGTTTGAGTCCCACTTTATGGGGATGTCCACTTCCCTGTGGAACATCCTCTTTGAGCCATCAAATGCTCTTACAACTATGTTACTGGGTTTCAACGTCAGTCCTTCGAAGTCTAGTCTATCGAGAGCTTTCTTCGATAAAACATTCAAAGATGAACCAGTGTCCACCAAGACATGGGCCAGAGTTGTTCCTCTACATTCCACATAGACATGTAATGCCTCGTTGCGCTTTCTTCCCTTTGGTGTCAGATCAGCATCCGAGAAGCCTAGACCATTATCCGCTGTCAAACTGGCCACACAATCTTGGAATTGGTCAGCAGACGTCTCTTGAGGCACATGGGTTGTCTTCAGAAACTTCACCAGGGCTTTCGCATGTGCCTCGGAGCACAGTAACAATGCTAGCATGGAGATTTTGGAGGGAGTTTGCCCCAACTGTTCAACTACGTCGTAGTCACTCTTCTTTATTATTCTCAAGATCTCCTCCATTTCCTTCTTGGAAGCTTCGGGAATAGTCAGTGGTTGAGCCTTCGTCCGGACAAGCTCTTCTTGAATACCTTTTCCTCGGGTTTCAGCAGCAGGAGTATTGGTAGGAATGATAGCAAGGGTTGTGTCATCTTTGTCGATAAGAGCACTTGTAGATATGATTATTGGTATGGAGGTAACCTTTGGAACAACCACGGGTCCAAAAACTGCCTTTGGAGGGGCAATTTCTGGAGAGAAGATTCTACCGCTACGGGTAATCTTACTAGTTCTGACAATATTGCTAATGTCAGAGTCTTCTTCTTTGGAGCTTATCTCTTCGGCGGCCAACCCATCTTGTTTGATACCGTGGTAATAGATGTCTCCACCATAATTCCACGACACTGTTTTGTCTCATTCATACGGGACCGCCCTGGGCATTGTGATTATAAGAGGAGTAGTTTTTGGAACCGATGTAATCCTAACGGGTCTTTTGGGGACCCTGGAAGGATTGGCGGAGATGGTTATGATTGAAACGTCTTCAACAGGAACAGGTGAAACAGGAACACTTTCAAACAAAATCTCTTGGTTGTCTATCAAGCGTTGAATGCCTGTCTTCAACAAATGGCAAGCAGTTGGTGAGGATAAGCAGAGATGGCAGTCTTCATTACAACCCGGGAATATACCGGCTTTCAACAAGTTTATCTTAATGATTTGGAGTGGAGTCAAGAGTTCATCAACTGCAGTAACAATCAAATCTTCTTCTATTGCATTGGTGTTATGACCATGCCTAGGCATAGGAGCAGAAATGACGTTTGGTTTCTCGGGTGCATCAAACTAAATCTCTTTTGCATCTATAAGGTCTTGAATTTTGTTTTTCAGGGCCCAACAGTTGTTGGTGTCATGACCCGGACTTTCGGAATGATATGCGCATCGGGCATTTGGGTGATAATAAGGGGACGTTGTGTTGGGGTTCTTGGGAGCTTCTTTTAAAGTTTCCAAATTGGATTTTAGAAGATGAGGTAAAACCTGGGCTAGAGTCATATTGATTTTGGTGAATTACCGGACTGGCCTCTCTACCCTCAGTTGATTATTTCTTGGTTGATTAGTTGTAGGCTTTGGGATCATAACAACTCCCACCATTGATTTGCGTTCAGCTCTCCTTTGGTTCCTTTGTGGGTAAACAGCAGATACCTCCTTCTTCCTAGTGAAAGGCTTTCTCACAGCTGTAGAGGCAGATGAATCCTTTTGAATCTTTCCACTTTTTATGCCAGCTTCCACCCTCTCTCCGGTTAGTATTAATTCAGTAAATCCAGCAGATGAGCTTCCAATCAGATGGTTGAAGAAAGGACTCGATAGAGTGCCTAAGAACATATCCACCAACTCCCTTTCAGACAACGGGGGTTGAACTCTCCCAGCTAGATCTCTCCATTTCTACGCGTAATCCTTGAAACCCTCATTGGAAACCATAGCCATACTCTGAAGTTGAGTACCGGTAGGCGCCAAATCTGCATTATACTGGTATTGCTTATAGAAAGTTGCGGCAAGATCTTCCCAGTTGTGGATGTTGGCCCTTTCCAGTTGGTAAAACCAATCGAGTTGTGTTCCCGATAGGCTATCTTGGAAAAAATGCACCCACAAGTCTTTATTGACGGAGTGCGGCTGGATCTTTCTTACATATGATCAAAGGTGCATCTTAGGACATGACACCCCATCATACTTTGCAAACAATGACACTTTGAACTTTGGTGGGATCACAATTCCCGACACTAGTCCCAATTCTTCAAAGTCTAGACCTGGTACCCTTTGTATTTCCATAGCGTTCAAGCGTTCTTCAAGATGTATGTACTTATCATCTGCTGGAGGATACTGTTCCTCGGAGCAGTCTTCCTCTTCTTCCTCCTCTTCAGATTCTGACGGAACCGCTGTTTCCTTTCATTTTCCTTCATCAGAGGTGGTTGCGAAATTCAAGGTTCTTCTAGTCTGTCCTTGAAACCTTCTCCCCATGATTACAACACCGGTTGGTTTCTTCTCTTTCTTCTTCCTCTCTTTGGCCAACAGAGTCTTCAACTCCTCTTGTCCTTTGGCCAAGGTTGTGAGTAACTGTTGAAATTGCATGTTTTGAACTTGAAGATCTTTGATTGTCTGTTCGAGATCCATCTTGCTGAAATAAACAGTAGAGAGATGAGGGAACTTGTTGCAAAAGACTTGTTTATGTTATGATGAATGATATGTGCATATGCAATGTTTCCAAGGATTTCAAAGATTCAAGTTCGTTTTAGATAAAAAGAAACACACATTATATTAATAAGATAGAGTTTGAATACATCAATGCCCCTTGGGAAAAATAATATAAAACTCTAAGATAAAAAGGTAGTGCGCATCCTTTTTGGTGCTATGTAGGCATTTAGAGTCTGCTCCTCATGAAGTAGCCTAGTAAGTTCCAAAACCTTCCTCCCGCTTGCGTAGAATTGGGCTTCGAAAGTATCTCGCTCTCCTTTGAGCTGTATCCAATCCCTTTGTAGGTCTTCAAGAGATGTCGGCATGTCAGGATGTAGGATTGTGTATGGAACTTCTCCTTCCTTAACAGGCTCAAAGATCACCGGGAGAATGGAAGGATAAGGCATCATAAGACTTTGAGTGCGAGTTCGTACCCACTTGAGGTAAGGCTCAAGAGGGATGGAATTCTTGTGTCCCAAAGTCTTGATATCCACCTTGTTTAGCATCCTCCAAGCTCGGATGAATCTCTGGCGAAGACCTTGATCGTCGTTGTCGTAGTCGAATACCAAGCCTAGGAACAAGCCCTCAAAAAAACTCGAACGATAAACAAAACCCAGAGGCAGAGGAGATTATATCATCATCCTCTTTGCTAAATTTTTCCTCAACTTAATTCTACCCTAACCTCTATACACAATGTTCTCAATAATATCGTTCTCTATGTTTCTATCCTTAACTTCCTTCTGAAAAATTGTTTCATTCCTATGTTTCCACACGTTGTACACCGTTTCAGTGGCTGCCAGCTTTAGCAACATAGATTTCCAACTGCTGCTCTTCCCTTTTCTGCACAGCCAATTTAGTTTTTCATCCCATTCTGCAGGTTCATGCCTAACTTGAATCCAGGCTAGCATATTTTTCCAGATTAATTTCAAAGTATCACATCCAAAGAAGAGATGCTGAATGTTCTCCTCATGATCGCAAAAATAGAAAGAGTTGTCCACATCCATCCCATACATGATGATATCATATTACACACATGAGTTCAAGTATATGCTAATAATGTGATGATTTATTTCTTGCATCGTGATTTACTTTCCTAATACTCTCCATAATCTCATGGAGAGATGAGTACCACGACTTTGAGCTTGGTTATAAGCACTTGCAACACTATAGTGTAACGAGTTTGAAACATGTTAAATCTTCATGCATTTAGAAATAACACATTCAAGAAAAAAGTGATTATCCGACTCAATATGTTTTGCGTGAGCATGAAGAATGGGATTGTGAGATAGTAGAACAACACTAACACTGCTACATAAAAACTATTTCATAACGGTTGGGAAAGGGATACCACCACATCTGACCAACCGTTGTGTGGTAGGGGATAGTTGTATGTATGGTTCTTTCCACCACGGTCGTGAGACTATAATTATAAACTAGATAGTGCATTACCTATTACAATAGTTACTTCAAACAACCATTTTGATATTCTTTAACGCATAAAATTTAACAATGGTTGTTCTAAACAACCATTCTGGTATATTCACCGAGTTTATTATAAATTTTGTGGAATGCTTATTTCTCCAATGCTCACTAAACATATAACCTTACAGTCTGATTTAGAATATTAAGTTACACCGTTCAATGTTATGACAAATTAAGTTATATTAGAAAAACAAGTTACACCGTTCAATGTTAGACAAGAATTCTTCACCCCTTATCCATATTTTGCTCTTTAACAGTTAAAACTTGGTTTGATGCTCCCATCTGTTCAACCTCATCCTTCACCTCTAGATATTTTTGCAAAATATTATTTACTTTGCAAATAAAATTAAAGGTGGAGAAAGAGGCGGTTGAAGAACTAGACGCATTAAACCAAGTCCTAACAGTTAAAGAGCGAAATGCAAATAGTGAGAAGAAGAATTTTTGTCTAGCATTGAACGATTTAACTTGTTATCTATATAACCTTATATTTCATATTATAATTTTCTAAAGCAATCTGAAAAGTTATATATTCGATAAGGGGTTGGAAAAACACTCAAACCACGTAAGATATAATAAACTTGTCTTTTAAATAAACATTAACAACAACATTTATCAACAACAAACCTTAAACAACATAAAAGATACAAAAAACAACTCTTATTAAAAACAACAAAATCATCAAAACATAACATAAATTACATACAATATACAACTTTTATTAATAATAGCAACAATATATCAACTTATAAAATATTTCAGAAACATACATGTCCCATAATGTCATCCACAATGAAAGGAGGATGCAGCTGAAGTGAGAGATGAAAACTTGTGTTAAATTTGAATGGATGTCATTCTGGATCTTTCGTACAAGTTTTCAGCGCTCACTTTAGTTTCATCCTCATTAATTTTTCCATTCACCTTCCATACCTACTATTCAAAATAAACAAAAACTTTAAACATTATGAAACAAGCTATCGAAACATAAACAATGATACATAAACATATTTTGGAACATAATATATTGTGAAGACGAACCTGCGAGGTAGTCATTTTCTAAGATTTTATGCAACAAAGGTAACCCTTCAAAAAATAGGAGTTCATTGCATGAGTTTGGGGTTTATATATGAGAGAGCGAGTGAGAGAGATCTTAGGGTTTTATTTTGAGAGAGACAATTGTTATGTATTAAAGCGGTAAATAATATAGCTTATATATAAATATGTAAGACCTTTCACCAAGATTGATAATACAAATCGTGGTGATATACAAGGACAAACCCATTTTGTCACGATAAATGAAAAATTGTTGGTGTCAGGATTCGAACCCTTTCACTCTAGGTATATTTCACCACTGTTATTAACAATGACCATAGTGAAATGTCTTTTAGTAAATACAAAAAAACACCCAAAAAGAGTTATTACCACTATTAACAGGAAGGCCATTGTAAAATGGTGTTATGAAAGGTCTATTTTATAGTAGTGTAATATTATCAAACAAAAGCATATGAGGAAGAAAAGGAATATGAAGCTCTAGTAAGAGAGATTATAACCACAAAAAATCTAATGTTGTGTGCGCTAAGACACTATACTCAACCTTTATTCTTGATTTATCTAGAAGGTACTACTTCTTGGAGCTCCATGATATAAGATTTGGTCCAAAGAAGATGAGGAACAAGAAGTAGAACGTGTATCATCGGGATCACTAGCCCAATCAAAATCACCATATGCATGTAGAGAGATATTTCATGAAGATGGAGTTGGAGACAACAATGAACCATTATTAGTGATTCCACTTAGGTACCTCAACATTTGCTTGACAACTGATTAATGTGACTCTGAAGTAGAGGCCAAAATTTGACACACTTTGTTGATACCGAAGGCGATGGCCGATCTGGTGAATGTCACATATTAAAGTGATCCTACCATTTAATGATACAAGTGAGGATCATGGAGATGGGAAGAATTATGCTTGATGAGTATGCAGTTGCTAAGCATATGAGTGATGACACCATTAGTCTTGCACATATTTACTTTTGTAAGAAGATCTCGAATGTACTTTGTTTGAGTGAGAAGAAGATTCCCTGAAGGTAAATGATTTATCTCAATTCCAAGTAAATATTTAGGAATGCCTAACTTATTAAGAGAAAATGTCTCATGAATATAGTCTATAAGCTTGTGAACCAACATAGAAAAGGAGCGCGGGATTAGAATCCCATCTACATATATCTAAGCATATATAGTGATACTTTGAGAGTAAATGAAGAAGGAGTGGTCAAATTTTGTATGTGTAAATCCAAAGTGGACAAGAGATTGAGTCAACTTCTCATACTATGCACGAGGAGCTCGTTTGAGCCCAGACAACAATTTATGAAGTTTGCAGACAAGTGAAGGACCTTCCTTCTAAAAACCATGAGGTTAAGACAAATATACTTTCTCATGTAGAAAGCCATTCAAAAAGGAATTATTGATGTCAACTTGTTGTATCTCCCATATATGAGTGATATCTAAATAAATAATCACTAGAATGGTAATTGGTTTTACAATAGGGAGGAAAGTTTCATTAAATTCAAATTCAAACTACTGACGGTATGCCTTTACAACCAATCATGCTTTCTATTTATTTACAATCCCATAAGGATTTTCTTTCACTTCAAAGACCCAATGGCAGCCCAAATATTCCCTATGAGACGGGAGAGTGGTTAATGTCCACGTGTGGTTAGCCAAGAGTGCGTCATACTCAAATTTCACATTTTGCAACTAATTTTGTTGAGAAAGAGCCTGTTTTACTGAGGTTGGTTCAAAATATGAGTGAGAAGTGCCTTAGGCTTTGAGTGACCTACTTCAACCATAGTTAACATAAGATGTTCATTAAATTAACTGACTTGAAGAAAAGAGGAACTTGGAAGGCTCGGGGATAAGGACTCAGTTGAGCTAATAGAATTAGGGAAACTCTAAGATATAGACAGGATATTAGTATGAGGTTAGTTCTCACACGAGGACTGACATGTGACGGACCTGATTGAGGTGATTGAATCATAAGAGAGATGTGGCAAGAATAACTAGATACATGTGTAGACTGGCATAAGATACATATATGTCTAGCTTGGCTATTACTCAAAGGACTAGAAGGTAGGGAGTCAATAGTCGGCAAAGGAAGGGAAACATTATCCATTAGATTAATTTCTGGTGTGGAAGCTACTTTATTCATATGCAACGGAGGACAAGGAATAGAGTCATGGTCACTAACCTGGTCATAAGAGATATGAGAATTAGAAGAAAATAAAGTAGGAAAAGAAAATAAGTATTCATGAAAATGACATCTTTGGAAATTTATATCTTGCAAGTTTTACTCAAACATTTGTAACCTCTATGTTATGATGAGATGCATAAGAATACAGACTCCTGGTACCTAATCTCCAATTTGTGTTTGTTGTAAGGGCGAGTAAATGGAAAACAAGTACATCCAAACACTTTAAGGGTCTGTTTGGAAGTTTATAGGGGAAGGGAGGGAAGAGCTTTCAAAAAAAGGAAGGATTGAGTGGAAAGAATTAAAGTATTTTGGTTGAGAGAGTTTTTGAGGATTTATTTTTATTCATAATACTAAAACACCCCTAATTTGGGGGAACTCAAAATTCATATTGAAGGAGGATTTTAAAGGTCTTGCATAAACTTTCCAAATATATTTTATGTTGTTATAGTATTCTGAAAAATTAAAGGGTTAAATGTGTTTTTGGTCTTAAATATCTCATATTTAACTTTTAGTCCCTCCAAAAATTTACTTCAAAGAATGGTCCTCCTAAAATTTTAATTTTAACTTTTGGTATCTCCTTCAACTTAGCGACGATTTTTACAAAATAGCGACAAAATTAGCGACGGTTTTAGCGATGAGTTTTTACTTAGCGACTAAATTAGTGACAATTTTAGTGACGATTTTGACAAGAGGGTTCAAAATTTAAAATTAAATTTTAGGAGGACCATTATTTAAAGGAAACATTCAGAGGGACTAAAAGTTAAATATAAGATATTTAGGAGCACCAAAAACATATTTAACCAAAATTTAAAATATAGTAATGATAAGCATTCTTTTATCATTCTATACAAAATAATTCTTTCAAAAAATGTCAAATATTTTTCTTTTTTTTAAAAAAATCATTTTCGGAAGCCTTCCCTTCCCCTCCCCTATAATCTTCCAAACAAAGCCTAACTGTGTTATACCTAGGTAGCTTGTACTACAAGGCATGATAAGTTGACTGAAAGTTTGGAAGAATTGCAGCAGGCAACGTGTTGATAACAAGAACTAAAGTAGCAAAGCTATGTTCCCAATATTGTGAGGGAATGAAGGCATGAGATAACAATGTGAGGCCCACCTCTATAATATGATTTTGTTTTCTTTCCACTATACCATTTTGGTGAGATGTGTGTGGACACGTGAGCCTATGAGAATACCTGATTCAGTCAAATACTTGGTGAAATGCCTAAACTCTCTTCCGTAACATGATTGAAATGCTTTAACTATGGTATATAATTGAGCTTG